GTCTGGTGAGCTTCAGTTTGGATGAAAGGCAGTTTTGTCCAATGGTCAGCACTTGGCAGTTGAAGAGAAGTGCAGATGAATGTTGCTTTGTGCCTATTTGTCTTCTGTCTTCTTTGGAGGAAATAGAGGGTTGCTGCTGGAGCCAACCTGTCTCTCTTTGTTATAAAAAGTCTTTTACTAGTCAAATATTTAAATGCCATATTCCCCAGATCTCTGAGCAGTGGAGGGCTGTTTATCAGGTACAGCTACAGTATAGAATTTGCCTGGAGAGCTGGATCCAAGCTTGATTGTACTGGCTCTCAACTTAACAGGTAAGATTTATACTCGTAAAAAGATAGAAAGAAAACACTGCATGCAATAGAAGGTTAACGGCAGAACTGACAATAGTAGAGAACATCTTAATATATTTTAAAGCAGGGTATGATTAAATATACTGTATTGTTGTAAGAGACTTAAAAGTACATACCAATTTAAAACATGAAACTTATTGCTTTGTAGTCTGGAATAAATACAATGAACAGTCATTATAACATTTAACAGTAAACATGTGCATTTAAGTTACATGTATGAATACACACACACACACAGAGTGAACAGGAATTGGATGAAGGGGATGCTTTTGGTGGGCCCTACCAAAGGCATGCCACTGCACAAAACAGATGCAACAGAGTCATCAAGAGGAATTTAGAGACAAAAACATAAGTAAACTGGGGGACCAGGCAGGGTATATTTTAGTAAAGATGGCAGGACTTGGTCACTTGACCTGGCTCTGAGTTAAGATAGCAGTGAAATCACCTGACCTTAGTTAAGATGGAGGTAAAGTCACCCATGTAACAGAATTAACACTGGGGAACCAGTCAGGGAATATCTCAGTAAAGAGGGCAGAACTTGGTTATCTGACCTGGCTCTTAGCCAAGATGGCAGTGAAGTCATCTAACCTCAGTTAAAAATGGTGGTAATGTCACCTGACCTCAGTCAAAATGGCAGTGGTCACATGTTATATGGAAAATCCACCCAGTTAAGATGGTGGCGAAATCACCTGACTTCAGTTAAGATGGTGGTAAGGTCACTCGATCTCAGACAAAATGGCAGTGGTTACATGTTGTATGGAAAAGCCACAATTTTTGAGCTGCAGGGATTTTAAGTTTAATAAGAGAAACATAGAGGCGTGATCTGCCCTGTTGCTGAGTCACCTTGCCACGGGCCGCGGTGGGGAGCAAAAGGCTGGAACTGGAAACAGTCAGTCGCCTTGTAGATCCGACCAATCTTGTTGGCAGCAGTAGCGGTGACAGGGACAGTTTAAGGAAACTCCTTCCATTTGCCTGTGTGCTTACAGTAGTTAGAAAGCTCCCGTAAAAGTGGAGCTGGTGGGACACCAGTGGAGTGAGGGTAGGAGCTGAAAAAGTAGGGCAATAAGGCCTGGGGTTTTAGGGCCTCTAAAAGGCATCCCAGGGAGGAGCTGGATTAATGGGCTTGGATGGCTTGCTACCCATAGCTGAAACCGTGAAAACCCGCAAAACAGCGACACCACAAGGCCTATGACAGGATGTCTCCCCTTATAGGCAGGGTGTAAATTGGCAGTGAACACCTCAGGACCTGTAGGAGAGTATCCTCTGCCTACAGGTGGAGTGCTACAGCCTGACTGGATCTGCTCAGGGCGACTTAGAAGCCAGAGAGGCCAGAGGCTGCTCCGAGTGACCTTTCACAGCAGGGGAGAAAAAAAAAAAGAAAAAAAGAGAAAGAAGAATCTAAGGGACCCTGGATCCCCCAGTCATGGGAGGACAAACCCCGGGCTATCCAAAGACGATTTTAGGTTAAGGGAAGCAATCCAGATGAATGTCGGCGAAGGGTGCAACCATAGCCCAAAGACCATGGTTGGGGACTGTCCCCCCATTTCTAGGAATACCAGAAGATTTTCCAGGAGCTCAATGGTCAATTCCTCAGGTTCAGAGAAATGGTTAAACTGACCAGAATGGGGGAAACTCACCAACTGAAGCCAGTGTTTGTATAGAAATTACACTCAGGCATATGGAACACGTGGTTGTTGTGGAAAAAAATACCCAGTTCTGGATCCTGATCCCGGGATAATGACTTGGGGCAGGAGAGTCTCCCAAGTCTCACAGCACCAATGTAATGGATTAAGTTAAATGCTGTGGATCTGAGTGGCTGCAGTGGCAGAAATGCCGCAGGTCCCCAAGTGGTGGCAGTGGGCAGGAGGTCCTGAGAGCTGCCAGTCCCAGGCAGGAATGGCACAGTTCCCAAGTGGCTGCAGTGGGCCACGAGGGGCGAGTCCCATGAGGAGAGACAGACAGATGGGCATGCCACGAGAATACGCTACAGGTCTCCGAAGGCGGCTGGTCCCAGGCAGGGAGCCACGTGGTGGGTGAGAGACAGCCATGTATAGACACGGCATGCAGAGTGAGGTTGGATATTTATTTAGTGGATTATGGAAGGGATGGAAAGAGAGGGGAAGAGCAGAGAAAAACAGAGAGAGAGAGAGAGAGAGAGAGAGAGAGAGAGAGAGAGATAGGGGAAGGGGAGAAGTGGGGAGAACGGAACAAGGTAGAAGCTACCTCTTCAGGTGAGAGATGGAAAAGAGAAGGGACTGGGGCTGGAAGCTGAAGATCAGCTTGCCTTGGCGGACAGGGGAGGGAGTGGGCATGGCTTGTCTCTTAAAGGGGCAGAGCAGACCATTACACTTAGATCTCCTTGTTTTTAAGGTTAAGTTGACTAAGTGGAAATAAAAAAAAATATTTTAAAGAAATGTTCATTAAATATTCTACTTGTTGGACAAAAAGATTCCTTAATTTTTCATTTTTGAGACAGTGTCTTACTGAACCTGGAGCTTGCCACTCTGAGTAGACTGGCTAGTCAACAAGTCCCAGGAAACCTGTCTCTGCCTCTCCAGTGCTGGGATCACAGGTCACACTGAGGGGCTATTGTGTGGGTTCTGAAGATTCAAATGTTTGGCCTTCATGTTTGAGCAGAATCGATTTTCTGAGCCATCTCCCCATTCCCCAGAGACAGAATTCCTCTGCGCAGGTTTGGCTGTCCTGGGACTTGCTTTGTAGACCAGGCTGGCCTTGAATTCAGAGATTCACTTGTTATGCCACTCAAGTGCTGGAATTAAAGGCGTGCACCGTCAACACTGGCTAAGCTGATTTACTGAGTAAAGCAAGCACTCCAGAAATTGAGGTGGCCTATCCCTAAGGAGAATAGCAAGTTCTGCATTGTGGATTTCTAAAGTTGTATAAAACACTTAAGTAAGAGGCATATTCATGAATATGCCCAAATCATGGTAGGCCACATCTTCCTTTTAGGTGCACTTTCCCATGATTCTCTAGAAAAACCCATAAAGAGGATGTGTCAAAACCATGATAAAGCGGGTAGGCAAGATGGCTCAGACACAAAAGTCTAGGAACTCAAACAATCCCAGAACCCACTTGAAAACTGCAGAAACAGACATCCTGTTTGTCCTCTGACTTCCACATTCATGCTATTGCACACATCTGCCCTTGATCCCCAGTTATACACACAATAGTAATAATGTTTTTAGAAAAAGACACAATGTAAATCTCAATGAAGCTTAAGTCTTTTTAGGATGTACCACCTTAGTCTGGTAAAGCAGGAACCACCTATCTGCAGCCTTAAGAATGCTTAACAAGACACTGTGTCAGGAATATAGCTCCCAGAGACTCAGCTGCAGCTCTCTTGGTGACTTATCTACTGAGACTGTTGAAGGTCCCATGTCTGATCTCTGGACAAGCTGTCAGTCTTGGCTATTGTCCCAGTCAAAACAATAATAGCATTTAGAACAAAAAAGAAAACTGATGCCTTATGGAAGTTGGGTCCAGGGTTTCACATCAGCTTGTCAAGTTGTACAAAGAGGAACACCAGGCTTGGGCTGCCTTCTAGGCCCTCCCCACAGCTCTACTGACCCTAATTATCATCTTGAATGTTATCACATTCAAGTGTTGAAATGTAGGTGAAATGAAGTTGGCCACAAAAGGGGATGCCAGATGTTCACATCTACCAAGTGATAAGAAAGGTGGGGTGGTGGTGGTACATGCCTTTAATCCCAGCACTGGAAAGACAGAGGCAGGCTGATATCTGACTTCCAGGTCAGCCTGGTCTACAGAGCAAGTTCCAGGCCAGCCAAGGCCATAGAGAAAACCCTGTCAAGAAAAATTAAATGGGCCAAGTCTATATGAGATTTGGATAAGCCAGCACTAAATCCATCCACCAATCACCTAGTATTTGCTCTCTCAACAGTGTCTAGACAGCCATGCTCTTCACTGCATTTCCCAAGTCTGACAACGGGACACTTTTCCTTCAAGCATAGAGATAGAAACAGATGGGACAGACTTGGAGCAGGACTTTAAAGACTTACCCTGTGTTTTGCCTGCATGCATGTATGTTCACCACATGCATGCCTAGAGTCCTCAGAGGTTCAAGAGTGTGTTTAATCCCTGCAACTGGAGTTATAGGCAGTTATGAGTTACTATATGGGTGCTGGGAGCCAAACCCAGACGCCCTGTAAGAACAAAAGCTCTTAACTGCTTAGTCATCTCTCCAGCCCCAGGATTTTGGATATAAATTATAATTCCAGTAATTGGTAAGATAGAGACCATTTAAAAATGTATGAACACTAATAAGGGCCAGGTCAAAATAAGTGACATGCTCACAGGAATGCTGTTTGGAGCAGGGTCTTAGTTCTCCTATACCAGCTATCTAAAGTTCACCTCATTAGCTTAGGTTACTCACATTGATAGCTATCTTTGAATTTGTTCTTTGGGGGAAAAAGGGTTATGTGCATCAGATTTTCTTAGTAAAATTCCATCTACATTTGGGTCTGCCCCTGGTATTTAACAGATAAAATTACAAATGACAAAACAAACATGATTTTATCAGAAGGATACCTTTTCCAAGTCCCTCTTAATAGCTTATCTGGTATTCTGACAAATCCTTGCTAACCAGCTACATCAATTATTACTCACAACAAGTTTTAAAACAAGTTTATTGAAGAATATTCTTGTGAAGGCAACCACTTTTGATTTGTCATTTAAAAAAGTTCCATTTCTGCTGTGTACTAAAGGTCATGTAAGAGAACAGAGCCACATGCTTCTCTCTGCGGAACCCTTGGGTAGTATAGCACAGTGTTGTCATTTCTGCACCGTGAGAATAAATTAAAAAAAAAGTCTCTTCTATGTTTCTCTTCAAAAAGCGATGAAAATAACAGAAGGTGGCATAAAAAAGCCGCATTTCTTACTCATTCCGTAGTATTGGAGCCAGTATCTAGAAACAGGAAAGAGATCAATTCAAGGAGCAAATCCTAAATATCAGTACTTCAGGTACAACTAGAGAAGGACTAACAGTGTGGGGGAGGAGGAAGCGGCAGGGACAGAGGGGCACTCCAGAGGCTCAGCCAAGGTCAACAGCTTCCTTCCCAAGGCAGAGGAAAGAAACAGCCTAAGCCTCCAGCTATCTGCTGTGTGATAGTGTAAATAGCCTTTTCAGGCCACATCCTGCTGGGAAATCCAGCAACCTTCTGGCTCTGGCTATTGCTGCCCTTTTCTCTGCTACTCTGTTGAGAACACAGCTTAATTTAGGATGCTAATTTTAGAAGTATGAAATTTTATAGCAGCACCTGATTTATTAGGAATTTTCCTAATTAACTGAATTTAATCTTTAAATGCCAAACTATATTTTAACCATGTCTAAGATTTCATCTTTTCCTGTGGATACAGAAAAATGGAATCCAAAACCATTTTCCTTCCTTTCTTTTTTTTTTGGGGGGGGGGCGGTTATACCCCTGGCTGTCCTGGAACTTGTTTTGTAGACCAGGCTAGCCTCAAACTCAGAGATCCAATCTTTGCTGAAGATCAATTACCATGGTTTGCTTTAAATTAGGGCAGCTCTCCAGAGAACACCTAACTGAAGTAAAAAAGGGTAATTTTGCCTTTTGGGTTCAAATGACTGAAACTGACCTTCTACTGATCACATCTACCCTGCCAATTCAGTCCTGACTGGTTAGCAACATGCAGCTGTTTAAAATTTAAATTAATTAAATTAGTTAATGAGATAAGATGATAAAAGTTTTTAGTTGCCCTGGTCACATTTTAAGTGTTCAAGGCCATGAATGACTACTATGGACTGCAGATGAAGAACATTTTCATCGTTACACAATTCTCCTCAACGGAACTGGTGCTCATTACTGCTCCCTTCCCCAGGGTTATAAGCTGAGCCCTCTATCAATATGAGTTTCCAGCCTACTTTTCACTCTTTCAGATAGAGTTTAAGTTGCTCAGGCTGGCCTTGAGCTCACTCAGTCACCTTTCACCTTCACCGAGGCAGCCCTTGAAGATAGTATTTGTTTCAACTTCCCAAGGAATGAAGATTACAGGTCTGTACCACCTGGCCCATTTATAGTAATTAATTTACAAATATCTAGGAATTACAAAAATAATGCACAAATTCAATGGTTCAATAAGCACTCAAAACCCTAAGAGTTCTACGGATATTATTAGCTTAAATTACAAGAAAAAAAATGAAAGTATAAATTATTTTGAATACAGAAATTTAACCTGTGGCACAGCAAACAGTACTACCATTGTAGAAATGGAAAACAAAACAAAAAGTGACTCAAATGTACACTGTCCCTAGCAAAAACAAAAAAAAATCTTAAGTATCTGCTGGTCACACTAAAAAATCTCTAGGACTACTGCTGAGGACTTCCTAGTTAGCTCTGATGAGTAAGTCAGTGCAATAGTGCTAATTTCCTAGACTTTTTGACATCTGGAAGACTTTTTAGCCTTTAATCCCAGCACTCTGGAGGCAGAGACAGATGGATCTATGAGTTTAGCCAGCCTGGTCTACAAGGTGAGTCCTAGAATAGACAGGGCTACACAGAGAAACCGTGCCTTAAAAAATAAAAATCAAATTAAATAAATATAAAGGACTGAAAATTTTATGTAGCCACCAGAAATCAGATTAAAAATACTCTATATGAAAAAATGTGTGTAAACATGTCTGTGCACAGATATGTTACTATAAAAATACAACCCTAAGACTTGAAAGTCTTGACTTTGGAAGCTAGCTTTCTGTACAAGTTTATACATGGAGCTTTTCTGTATTCTCTACATTTCTTCAGTGATTAGATATTCCTTAAAAATCCAGACTGTAGCTAGTCATGTGGCACACGCCTTTAATCCCAGCAGTTAGGCAGCAGAGGCAGGTGAAATCTCTGAGTCTGAGGACAGCCTGGTCTACAGAGTGAGTTCCAGGCCAGTCAAGGCTACAGAGAATCTGTCTCAAAAAACAAAAACAAAACAAACTTGATGCGAAACTCAAGAAATGGGGCTATTACTTCCTATCTTTCCCTTGCTTCTTAGAAGCCCCTTCTTGGAGTGGAAATCTTTACACTCCAGGGTGTGGTGCTTCAAACACAGCTGTTATCAACTGAAGTAATACACAATAAAACACAGGGCTAGAACATGACTTTGTGCAAACCAGCAAGTACAAGGCCTTGGGTTCTATTCAAAAATAAACAAAAGGAAAAAGCACTGCGCACTTTAACAAATCAGAGGACTGGGGCTCTCCCATTATAACTGCAATAGTTTAAATCAGCTTTAAAATAATTAACTTGTTACATACAAGTATAGGGTATTCAGCAACACGTAAGTTTTAAGATAAATGCTCAAAGTTACACATTACTTTCCTAAAGAGAAAGGTGGCAGTGAGAAGCCTGATGACTGCTTCAAATAAGCAACTGAGTGGAAGGAAATTTAGCAATTTGCTTACTTTCCTTGCACATGAATTTAATCTGTGCTAAGTGTCTGTTTGCCATGTGAGCATACAGATGTAGGTCAGTAAAGGGGACAGATGTAGAATCCAGAAGCGAGGTTGTTATCTGAAGGTTGATCACCTGGCCACTTTCCCCTGAGGCTTTCAGATAGATCAAGATAATTAAAGAGGAGAAAAAAATATTTCAACAAATTTTACTTTCACAGTAATTAGGGGAGCACTTACTTTTACCATCACAGGCTACAATTTTCACTTTATCCACTTTAATAAGTTCTGTCACCTCTCTGAATTCAACATCATTCAATACAAAAGTCCAAACATTATCGCAGAATCTGTATGTATTTAGAGAGCCCTTTAAAACAAAACATTGAGAAATGCCATGAGAAGCCATTGTTTCCCCTCATGCTTTATTCCAAAGTAACTCAAGAGAACTTAGCTACCAAGTATATAGCTCCTAAAACAGTATGCTTAATGTTTAGCTTACTTAAATTATTTTCTTAATTTCATCTACATAGAAATAAGTAAGAGACAACCTGAATAAATCAGCTCAGGGAAGAGTTTAAAAATATTTTTGCTAACTATTTTTAGCACTCTAAAACAATCTGCAAATTACTTACCTGAAATGAAAAGCTATATGAAAGCTTAAATTTGTATGTCTACTGCCCTCTTGTGGATAAATTATGAAAGTCCATTTGATTTCTTTCTTTTGAGAAAGGGTTGCTCTACACAGCCTTGGCTGTCCTGGAACTCACTATGCAGACTAGGCTGTCCTGGAACTGTTGCCTCTGCCTCCCAAGTGCACCACTATATCTTGCCCATTTGATTAAAAAATATTAACTTTTGTATGTGCATATATATGTCTGGTACATGCTTGCCTGAGTTTATATGTACTACATGCATGCAGACGGCTGTGAAGGCCAGGAGAGGAGTCTAAGCCCTTGATTTGGAGACACCTGATATGGGTGCTGGAAACCAAACCCACATTTTCTGTAAGAGCAATAAGCATTCTTATCCACTAAACTCTCTCCTGCCTAGTTGAGACTGGCTTCCAACTCAAAAGAGATTTGCCTCCTGAGTGCTGGGATTAAACATATGTACCTAGCTCCATTTGAACTTCTTTTATAAATATTTAAAGCTCCATATTTCCCTGGGTGTTCATTCTCTAAATTCTATAAAAGCAGAGATTCCTTAGAAACATTAAGACAATTTAAATCCTGTAACTGGCTCAGACACATCACTGGCTTCCAAACCAGCCTCTTCTGTGACTCTGCTGTCGTTCAAGTTTGCCTTTCCATTCCACCACATCTGTAGTGTCAAGTTCTGTCAGATGTGCCTTTTAAAACTTCTCCATGTCTAGCCATCCCTTTTAGAACTGTAAGAAAAGCTTTGACCCTTCTGATTCAGCTGGCTAAGAGGCATGATCTTCTGCCTCTAGCTTTATTTCCTTTTAATTCACTCTTCATGTGAGTAAAACTATGTGGCTCCTATGATCAATGGTCCTTCACTGACCTCCTGGTAGCATCAGTACAGGATCTGGACTTGTTGGGGGTCCTATGGTTTCTTTGAGGTTTCCTTCACATTAGAACCTCCTAAAGAATTGTTGTCTGGAACTTCCTACCACATTCCAAATGTTACCTTTCTTTCCACAATACAATCATCCTTTAGCTGACTCTGAATAATTCTTCAGGACTAGCCTTTTGTCTTCCGTACTTGCTGAACTCCTACTGAACCGTAAATATATCCTAACACTGTTAATGTATTTGTTTTAATGGTCTGCTTGCTAAACTAGTTGGTAGCAGAGACCAGTGCTTTCTGTTGTATTTTCAGAGCCCAGCAGAAGCTAGCACACAGTAATTATTCGTGTTTACTAAATTCATTAACTCATTCATTCACAGCTATCAGTTTTTAAAATCATCCTTATACTTAGACTCAGTTTTTACCAATATGGATGATACTGTAGGATTTTAAGATTTTTCTGTTTAAATATCTTGTGCTAAACTTTACATGTGAATGTATACATGCACATAGTGGATGTTAGGTTTTTGTCCATTATATTGGTGTTTAACCTAATATTTTTTTCACACTTAAAACTGCTTCATTTTATGTCCAGGGATATGTTCCTGCTCCTAGATAAAAATCCAACTCCCTCAATGTTTTTATTAAAAGGTGAGCTGCAAAGGATAGTGAACCTTTATTGTATATAATTTTTAGTTACTTAGGTATCTTGTGTTTTTGTGTATTACTTGAGACTCAGAATCTAGTATCTTATCTATAAGAACTAGAAGAATTGCACTTTAAACAATTTTAGATTCATTTTTTCTTTCAGAGTTCCTTTGACTCAATATTGATTTTAATAGCTGTCTCCAAAAAACAGAATCTTTTAATATGTATCAACAATAGATGATATTGTGTTTCTAAACTTAAAACAGCAATTTAAAAGTTACACAGTACTCATTACTCATTTATAGAGACAACAAACAACAAAACCATGAAAAACTAGAAGAAGCTGTGTCATAAGAAGGAATACTTTTTTACTATTTAAATATTTTAATGCTTACTTATTACTGTTTGGAGCTGAGTATTATGATGTTTAATTGGCCATTTCTTCCATCCTCTTAAGGGCACACAGTGGCTCTTTAAAAGTCTAGTTATATGTATTAATTCTATGTGAATTTACTTTCTAAAATCCTGCTATGGTCACGTTTCTGACATTTTACTAATAAATTTTAACTTCTAAATAAAGCTTTAGTTTTCATACTTAAGAACTCTTTTTCTTGTAAGATCCTACTGAGTAGCATAACTTTTGAATCTAAAAATGAGCTTGTCTATTGTGTAAAACCACTCTATTCCTTAAATGGGTAAATCCAATCTTATTGGTAGATCAGCAAACATTATTATACATAAAATGCAATCAAGCAATGTGACTTAGAAAATTAAGTAGTGGCAACATGTTGTCTCTTTGCTATATGGTACACCAAGCTAAACAATGCTTTTTGTATATATAGTTTGCAGAGCAGGGTATAGAATTCTCAGCTGCAGCAGCAGCAATGGGAAAAGAAAAAGTAAACTGGAAAACTAAGTTGGACGGGGCCAACTCTTGGAAAACTGACAGACTTAAAAACAGTATGCATAAAAAAACACAAGTGTTCAATTAATTTTTGCAAAAGAAACTCATACTAGACACTTCTAACAGAGCAATTAGAAGACTATCAAGGTTTTGTGAACCTTACTGCCTCTGAAAAGTAGTCCATCAATTTTCTAAGAGGCCAAAACTTTTGCAGTTTAACAAAGATCAATTTAAAAGTTGAAATTTCAAGCTGGGCAGACAAAGAACAACTTTGTCTGAACCCCTACTATTAAAACCTAAGAATCAACTCGTCAAATTTTATACTCTTAGAGACTCTCCCTCCTCCCCCAAGACATGGTTTCTCTGTGAAGAAGCCCTGACTGTCCAAGAATTCAGTCTGTAGACCAGGCTGGCAGCAGAGGCAGAGATCTGCCTGCCTCTGCCTCCCCAGTGCTAGAATTAAGGGTGCGTACCATCATGACTGACTGATAGTCTTCTATTTGACTATTTATGCCTTTAATTTTTAAGCATGCAAAGCTGATAGAGACATCTATAGATAACATAAACACGTTTTATCTCTTCAGTAAAACATAAGTCAAATGGGGACTCATCTATTTTGTTCACTTTTGCATTTCTGATACCTAGAACAATGTCTATTACCTAATAGGCAGTTAAATGCTTAAAAAAATACTTTTTTTTTTGTATTTTATCAACAAAACACTCGCCTTTCCTCAACACCTAGGTTTTCTTAAATGTTACTCATAGATTCTTTTCCTATATTGGTCTTTGTGTTTTAAATTTATTTCTATAGTAGGGCTGTAACTTGTAACATAGCTTAAGATATTAGAAAGATACAACAGGGTAACAGCAAACACCATTATCCACAACGTGTCTCCACCAACTCACATGGTAAACTATTTTGCCACATTTTGCAATGAGTTCTTAACCCCAAATTACCACAAAATTAAGTGGTACTTTGTTCAAAGCAGGATGATTCAAAAAACGCTCAGCTACAAGACTTTGTAAGGCAAGCTATCTTAGGGTAGATGGGAGGCAACATGAAGAGTCTACAGACAACCAACCTTTCCTGGAAGGTCAGAGTCTGAGAAACAACGGAACATAAGGGTTACTCTGTCACTTACCTTCCACCTTGCAGCTAATACTTTCAGGCCTTTGAAATCTCAGTAATTCTTCAGGGACAAAAAAAACCCAAACATATACAGGATGACTTGTGAAACAATGAAATTAAAATCTAAAAGCAATTATGTATCTCATGGAATGAAGAAACTTTATACAGCTGATTTAAAAATGGAGAGATGGCTCAGCAGTTAAGAGCATTGGCTGCTCTTCCAGAGGTCCTGAGTTCAATCCCAGCAACCACATGGCAGGTCACAACCACCTGTAATGAGATCTTGTGCCCTCTTCTGGGATGTGGGCATATATGCAAATATAGTAAGTAAATAAATCTTAAAAGAAATAGTGTATCATTTGATTATTATACAACAAGTTCCCAAACCAGACTAACCAAATCCTCTTGTTATGCTGAGTAAGTCCACATAAGCTCTCAGAGTAACCGTGCAGACTTCCAGACACAGGAAAATATCCTTACCCTGAAATTGACTCTGTTCCTGACTCTCTGAGCCAATGCTGAATTTATAGCTTTATCAAACTGAAGTAGAACTTGAAGGGCAAGCTGGGGGGTGATCTGTTGAGACTGAGAAAAAAAAAATGAAGATCATAAATTCACTAAGGAAAGAACATTAAAGACAAAATAAATAAATTAATTAAAGTCTAATAATTAACAGAAGTTAACCAAAACTTCTGAAGCAGAAGTCCTTATTCCCTGTGCTCTATCTAAGTGATGATGAAGCAAAGCCTGACAAAATTTCTTTACTACCTTTACAAAAAAGGAAATTTGCAGTGAGTTTGTAAAGCCAGGAAAAACTCTTCCTGTTCCTTCAATGGTGGACAAAGTATTCAACAAATGGGAAACCAAGTTTTTTCCTAATAAAAGACATGAGACCCTATATATAAAGAAAACAAAGACAAATCTTAACAAAGTCTATATAGTAATGCCAAGACACACGGAGCCAGGCATGGTGCTGCACACCTGCAATCCCAGCGGGTTGGGAACAAGGGCAGGAATACCAGAAGCTCTAGACCATTCTTAACTATGGAACACACTCAATGACAGCCTGGACACTATCTCAAAAAAAAAACAAAAGCCACCTCGCTCCCACATCTCCCTCCAGATCACAACAGAACATAAATAAAAAATATTTAATACTTTCTTAGTTGTATGATTTGAATAAGATTAACTCTTCTAAAACTGAAACAGAAATTTAAAGTTCTAACTCAAATCTCAAAGAATCCTTCATTATACTGGCCAGAACTACTTTTAAAGTGATAGAATATCCCTTTCTTCTAACTTTGAGATGAGAAGACTATACTTCCAAGGATTATTTCTATACTTCATCACTAATAATAAGGGGAAAATCATTTACTAAAATTTTTTTAACAAAAAAATTTGAAGACTTATAAAGCATATTTAATATTTGGCCCCCACCTGTATGAGCTCATCAAGGCTCTCTTGAAGACTGTTTCCCAAAGTTGTATTTCTGTATAACTGATATGCCATGGCTTAAAATGAAGCAATTACTTTTTCTTCAGGCTTGCATTGATGTCCTACAAATTTAATATAAAAGACCAACCTGTAACAATGTAAATTATATATAATAGTCTACTACTTCATGTATTCTAACACAGAACTATTAGAACTCGTTATCGATTACTATATTAATTTACTGTATAATTTAAAACAATTGTTCAAAGTTGATTTATCTGATTTTAATATTCGTATGGTATTTATCTTCTTCTTTTTTTTTCCCTAATTTATTATTTATTTATTTTGTATGCAGCTAGCCAGAAGAGGGCACCAGATCTCATTACAGATGGTTGTGAGCCACCATGTGGTTGCTGGGAATTGAACTCAGGACCTTTGGAAGAGCAGGCAATGCTCTTAACCACTGAGCCATCTCTCCAGCCCCTTCTTATCTTCTTTTTTGTTTGATTTTTCGAGATAGGGTTTCTCTGTAGCTTTGGAGCCTGTTGTGGAACTAGCTCTTGTAGACCACACTGGCCTCGAATTCACAGAGATCTGCCTGCCTCTGCCTCCCGAGAATTGGGATTAAAGGCGTGTGCCACCACCTAGTTGGTATTTATCTTAATTCAGTATGCTGACATACTCATTAAAATCTTTACTCTTACTTTTCCCACAGATTTCATTTAAGTTTAAAATTTTCCATATAGCATTCATTCTACCTGTTGTCACATAGTGACATGGCATCTGCATTTGGGCCCTTTATTTTTATGTTCTCTTAAAATTCCATTAGAGTTCCTGCCAAGAGGGATGGCACTGTGACAGGAAACAGAGACAAGAAGATGAATGAAGATGAACTCTGGGTTGTAAAAATCTGACTCTACAAAGGGTAACAGACACATTAAAAAGGTTAAACTTGTTGTAAAAAGGAGTGACACATTTTATCACGTGGGCTGCTTGTGGACCGAGTTGGCTTCCCATTGTTCAAGCAAAGGAGGAAAGCCTCTAGGACGGCAGGAGGGTAAGAAAAGCCACAGAAGTGCGGAAGTATAAGGCCTGTGGACATCTGTTAGTGTGGGCAGACTGTAGCGGTAGGTGAAGCTGAAGCAGAGGACAGGATGAATTTACTCCACAAGGGAACTGCAGGAACAAAAAGCCCTTGAAACATTTCAGGCAAGAAAGGTAGAAAACCCTGTTTATGGGACCTGAAAATGGTGACAGGAGGACAGATTCAAAAACTGTTTACTGTCCAGAGATGGACATGCTCAAACATTCACTATCAGATAAGACTTGGCAAAAGTAATGACCAGCCATCTTTATATACAGTTGGCCATTATCTCATCCAGGAGATCATTCTGTGATCTTGAGACATTCCTTTAGCTACTGGGGTACCACTCTCAGTTCTTTACTCCCAGCTTGTGAACTACTGTATTTCCTGTTTCCTTTGGCAATTCTTCCTCAGCTCCTTAACTTCCATCTCCTGTGTGACTCTAAGGCTTCTTAAGTCTTCTCTTTACTGGCTTTCCCCCTTAGTTATTCTATCTAAGCTTATGGTGTTAAACCTCATCTATATGTTGATTACTCCACACTTTCATCTCTTGTCCTCGCTTCTCTCTTTGTACCCACATGTAAAATTGTTTATTTTACACAGAAAAAAAAAATCAAATAGTTGAGACATCTCTCCTGCAGGTAAGAGCAATTGTAGGGGACTTGGGTTCAGTTCTGAAGCACCCACACTGGCTAGATCACAACCAGCTGTAACTTCAGCTCCAGGGGATCCCATATCCTCTTCTGGCCTCTATAAGTACCCACATACATGTGTGCATGTGTGTGCACCCAAACACAGACACACACAGTTTCACTACTAGCAAAAAGTAAAGTTGACACATGGTATTGTCCTCATCTACCAGACTAGATGATACATAAAGACAGGAAATGTATTTACCACTCTGAACCATGTGTGTATTATGTATTAAAAGAATATTGTTGAGTAAAAAACTTGGTGGCATATCAAAAACACTAGAAATACATTCATGTGGGGCACATTTCTACTTTACTGATGAAATTAAATTAGTGGAAAAGAGAATCTCACTACCACATCCATCTACTCACCTACTTACCACTGCCTGTACCCACACACTCTGTCTTTCTGTCATTGCACTCAACATGCCTTTATCTACATGTAATTTCTCACCTTTGTATCAGGCCTCTTTCTCTAGCATACTTGAGGATATTGTCTAACAATTCAGTCGTTCCTTCTTTCTCTCATCAGCAAACAAACTGGCAGTTACTTCTCCCACTTTGGGTAGAGTAACAACCACCACTATTCAAAATCACTTCCCCTGCCACCTACATTCTATTCCTGTTTGGTAAAAGAGTTATTTGACTCACTGTTTCCAGTTCTCCCTTTCCCCTAGTCATACCCAGCTCTCGGCTCTAAGTGTAACGAAACCGATGCTGCAGGCTGCTGAGGGATGATCTTCACTGACCAGAGCAATGGATACAGCTGACTTCCGATTACAGGATCTCTGCTTGGTACTTCACTTTGGGGGTGTCTTCTTAGATTCACTGGTTCATGCGGCTGATTGACCCTCTTGTCTGGAACTCAGAGATCCGCCTGCCTCTGCCCCCTGGGTGTTGGGATTAATGGTGGACAGTCTCTTCCTTTTTCGCCCATTTATGAAGGGCGAACATTCATTCTTATGGTTTTAAATATCAGCTGGTGATTCCCCAATTCGCATGTCTTCCAAACAATTCTCAATTCTGTTACTAATTTCCTATTCAAAACTTCTACTTGTCTTTTGTATCTCTCAGCTTAAGTAACCCAAACTTCCATCGGCTAAGACCTTTAATGTAGCTCTCCAAGTCACGTAAACCACTGAGATGTCCAATTTCTAGCAAATCTTGTAAACACAGCCTTCAAAATGGATGCAGTATCCAACCATTTCTCAACACCTCTATTACTTCCTTGTTCTAAGCCACTATTACAAGGCATTTGGATCATCGAAATGGTGTCCCGATTTCACTTCACTCCACACTTGTCCCCCACGCGCTTTATTATTTACAGTTGGGGTTATCTTTTGAAAACGTGGGCTAGAAAAATCTTTTTCTCGCGGCTTTCGTCTGCACTGACAATCTGGCTACCTTTTAGGTATGGTCTTACTGTCTGCCTCTACCCCCTTTCTCGGACATCCTAACTTCCCTGAGCATGACACAGGCATGTTTCTGCCTCTCTGGTGGCTGGTCTTGCTGCCTGGGATGTGCTTGCTGAGATATGAACTTGACAACCACACAAAACTCTTCTTTGCCCCAACAGCTCCCACCAATAACGCCTCAGCTGATCACACACCCACTATGGAACTAATCCAGACCCTTTAGCTCGCTCAGATTTTTTTTTTTTTTGTTGGTACCATACGCCAAATTACATAATGGTCTTATATTTATTCTCTGTATAAAATGTAAGGTCCACGAGAGCATGGATCTTTGTGTTTCGTTCCCTGAGGAAACCTGCGGGCCGAGAACAGTACCTGACCGACGACGGGAGTCAAACGAAACATTTAGTCCGTTGAAGGTAAACACCGGTCGGCATACGGGTGTGGAGAAGAGGCGAAAAGGGCCAGAGAGATGCAAACTTTGCAACGGGCCAGCAGAGAGCCGGGTCGCGCTCCCATTCGACATCTAAGCATTAGTTAGAAAACAGCTAGGAGCGACTTCAACGTCTGCTGAAGCTAGTCGCCGCGGCCATCTGCAATCCTTTAAGGTGGCGACAGCTGCAGAACCGCGGAGCTCCCTCCTCCCGGGGGAGATGAAGCGGAAGCGCTCGGGTCGGGTCTCTGAGCCAGACGCGCGTCCACCGAGCGCGGCCTGAGGAGAGCGGGAAGGCGGCTGCTCCCGCGCGGCCGCGTCTGCCTGGGGGCGGCTTCTGGCGGCCACAGCGCTCGCTACCGCCCGCCCCGCCGCGGCTCCCCCGCTCCCGGCCCCGCCGCCGCCTACCTGAGGGAAGGCGCTTTCGCCGCGGCGCCAGCAGAGCCGGGCAGGGCGCCCGCTGCGACCACCTCCTCGGCCACGGAAACCACAGCGCTGGACCGGTGACCCGGAAGTGCTTGCGCGGCCCGGAGGTGACGCCACGAGGACTGCCGGGCCCCCACCTCAGCTTCCGAGGAGGAGCGTGGCCCCTCCCGCTTGGGCGGAGGAACCCCAAGCCTGCCCGACGCCTGTCCTGCTAGCCGGAGTTTGTGGCGCTAAGGCGAGCTGTTGTGGTTCATTAACCCTTCCCATTTGGAAGAGCGGCTGTATAAACTTCGTGCCTGACACTGAAGCAAATACGTGGCTGTTGTGAATTTCAAGAATCTCAGATTCCTTTTGGTATTAGCTCTGGTGCTTGGCTTTCTGCTTAAACAGCAAGTATGTGCACAGCAGAAGGCCACTGAGCACCTGCATTGACTTTGGGGTCAGTGCAAAAACCCGAGGTTTGAGAATGAAACAGGTACTTCTTTGTACCCTGCTGTGTTTTCCATGTTAGCCTTTTTGTTTGTTTGGTTTTCGAAACAGGGTTTCTCCGTTAATAGCCCTGGCTGTCCTGACCAGGCTTTGTAGACCAGGCTAGCCTCGAACCCACAGATCCGCCTGCCTCTGTCTCTCAAGTGCTTTTAGCCTTTTGAAGTCACATCCTCCCACCCCAGAATAAAATAATTCTAAATATGAAATACAAGTCTGATTAAAGTTCAAAAAATAATAAAATTTTAAGTAGGCTGAACTCATCAGTCAAAAGAATCAGAAACGCCCACACTGCAGGTTGTAAAGGCCTGCTCTTTGAAAGCCTTACCAGATAATTCAGTGTAAAAAGTTAACGTAATTAAAAGATGAAAACAGGCACAAATGTATATTCCAACTAATTTATTAAAATGCATTAATGTAATAATATGTGCAACAAACAGGACACACCACTGTATTCATAACAAGCCAACAGAAGAGCACATTTTGCTGCTGAGGGGCTGCTCACTAACTGCCATTAACAACCTGTGTCTGCAAACAGGCTGGACTCTCACTGAAATGACAGTACCAGTAAACACAAGAATAGCAAAGAAGGTCACAGGAAGTTAACTTTGTCTAAATGACAGCATGTGAGCTTGTAATGAAAATACTTTTGATATGAATCAAAGTAGTATCTGGTGAACTCTGAATTGTATTTCTGTGACCAGCACCAAGGCTGTGCAAGCCAGCAGCCCTGAACATCAATCTTCACTAGTTTGGTTTCTCTAAGAAAACAATGAGGCAACTCTTGGGAGGGCCAGGCTGGCCTCAAACTCAGAGATCCTTCTGCCTCTGCCTTCTGGAGTGCTGACATTAAAAGCGTGTGCCATCACCACCTGCCAACCATTTTCCACGTGTAACACAGGAAAAAGAAGGCCAAAGCTACTGTCATCTTCATGCAGATCTACCGAGTCCATCAAGAAACTGGCCTGCTCTACTACAAGAATCCTAGTGCTAATTCCCAGCGGAGCCATTCACCGCGACATGCGACTGCCTCTTCACGTCCCTGAGCGCTCTCATGCCATGGCCACAGGGATGAGATGTAAGTCCTCTGGAAGAATACTGTCAGGGAGCTGGTGACACTAAGTTGTGACACTTGGCACAAAAGTCTGTATTAATGTTTGCTAACTGCAAAAGGCAGGAAGCATTTCAACTTTGACACTATGTCACTGTTCAGACCCATTTCTATCTAAAGACAAAAGAACAGAGAACAAAATTGTCATTACGAGGGTCACTGGCAGTCTCCTTCTCAGGCCATACCTTATGTGACCTCTACTTTCCCTGTGGATACAGGAAGTAGAACCACCTGCTGCCATACAGAGTACTTGCCTTAAGAGGGACGCTTTTGGTGGCATATAGGTAACACCCAAGTCTTTATAATGGCCTTTTTCTCACTTTACCTTCTAACTCAGTTTAGCACCACACTCCCTGGCACCACTTGCGTCCTTGAGTTAAAGGCTTCACAGAGACATCATGCTTCTCTTGGTGCTTTTTCAGGAACACAAGCTGAACACAGAATCACATTATTTTTTTAAAAAACTTTTGATACAAAGGAGTAGTGAGAGCCAAAGTGTAACAAAGATGGTAATAAAACATAAATTAAACTTGTCAAGTTTATCCATGACCTCAGCAAACTCAAAGGATTATTCTATGCATTTTCAACCCAATTAGTAATAGGAATTAAATACAATGATGCAGGAAAATGTTATACCATTACCAGTTAAAAATCAACTGAATATGGCTTTTCCTCTAGCCTACCAGTCATCAGCCCAGACTCACAGGCAGGTTTACACTTATTGTGGCTGCAGCCCTATACTACATTCAAGTGTAGGTTAAAGCAGGTTTTCCCCGTAATTCAAGTTGTTAGCAGTGTTCCCTTTTTCCCTTGAGTCGAGGTTTGCTAGATGGGCCTCAAACTTACAGAGAATCTCCTCTCTCAGACTTCCTAGTACTGGGATTCAAGGCATATGCCATGATACTTGGATGTCCATCCTGAATTTTATTCATTTAAAAAAGATTTAGCTTTGTGTATGTGTGTGTATGGTACTTTGGATGCCACTATGGTATGCAGGTGCCCAGAAGCCAGAGAGGGCATCAAATCCCCTGGAGCTGGAGTTGCAGGTGGGCATGAACTGCCAGCTGTGAGTGCTGGCAACAAACTTGGAAGTGCTCTTACAATCACTGAGCCAGCTCTCTAGTCCCTCTTGAACTTTAATGCTCTAAACTGAATATAGGCTACTTCTATTCTTTAAAAGTTGAGGGAAAAAAAAATCACTTCTGAAAAAAGTAAACAAAATAAAAAGCTGAAGCTACTGTCTGTATTTTGAAACTGAAGATCCAAGTACTTTATGTGGAAGAAAACCAGTGACAAAGCTCAGCCTATTTGGAAAGAGAGAGGTGGATGAGACCTTCTACAAGCTACTCATGATTCTCGGGGTTAAGTACAGAAGGATGTCTACAGAACTATATAGCCCAGGCCTTAAACTCATAGAGCTCTGTCTGCCTTTACCTCCCAAGTGTTGGGATTAAAGATGGATGCCATCATGCCAGGCTTTATACAGCTCTTCTAAAGTTCCCTTCACCAACACGAGTCAAATGGTTCTGGCTCAGTATACTACAATGACACTAGCTAGCATAGGCCTTGCCTGGAGAGCTGGATCCAAGCTGAGAGGTTGTGGAGCAATATTTTACCCAGAGTCCTCCAGCTTGGCTGTGATTGTTTTAACTAGCAGGTCAAATTTATGCCTGCAAAGGACAAAGAAGTAAAGAAAAATTCCCTTTTGCAATAGAAGCTTAACACTAAAAACTGACACCAGGAAAGGTCCCGTGTTCAGTACAGGAGGGAATAATCTTCTAAGTTTAGTTCATACCTGATTTAATTTTGCTGTGCTAGGTCACTTTTGTAAACAGCTGACAGGAAAGACTGGGTGGTGTGAAGCCGATACATCAACTAAATATGTACATGCCAGACAAGTTCATGACCCAAGACTAGACCAAGTTGTTGTTTGAGAATTATTTTGTAGATAATTAAACCCTGCTTGGAGGCAAAAATAAAATTTATTTCAATGTTCAGTCAAGGTACTTAACCACATGAAATAAAGACTTACGTACAAAAAATGTCATCCTGAGTGCATACCAGTGGTGCTCCAACACTTAAGAGAACAGACCCATGTCTAGCACTGTCATGCCACCCAACAGCTACAGGAAGACCTATCTACTCAGGTCAGATAGTACTGTGGTCAAATAACTGACAAGGAAGTACTCTGGGCACGTCAATAGTAGCCCATCTGCTCTACAGATGCAGCTGACCATGAACACTGACCACAGTCTGCATACCTCACAGCATCACACACATGGACACAACTCACTTCACATTAGTGAACACATCTTAAGAGCTTTCTTTCTTTCTTTCTTTCTTTCTTTCTTTCTTTCTTTCTTTCTTTCTTTCTTTCTTTTTCTCTTTCTTTTTAAAACAGCTCTGACTTTGGGTAAAATAAATGTCCCTTATATACATATATACACACCCTAAATACTAGCTTCTCAAAATCTCTGGTTCTAACATGTATTTCGAGAGGAAAGTGAGCTGTTCACCTGCCTATACTTCCACCACATTAAGAAGCAATGTGCTTTCAGGTGAGGAGAAGCTCGGGCTGCTACTACTGACTAGATCATGTGCATGACCCCAGGCACTCCGCATCAGTTTAACTGTCCCTGTTTTAGGACAAATCAGCCTAAGTTACCCAGGAAATGTATCCAACCATGTACAAAAACAAGTCTTACATGCCTTTACATTTCAAATTGTGTGTATTCTTCCACGATAGGTACACACTAAAAAATATTGCCCCCAACATAAAAAATATATATTATTTCTTTCCTTTGTCATTTATGTATATAAATATTTTACTGAAGATGCATCATTCAAATAAACAAATGCAAAAATTGCTTTATATAAAGTGTAGTTCTCTGCTATTCAGCAATATAAAATGATTACAATATAATTAGTCATGAAAGAGCTAAATTCAAGAATTGCAAACCATTACAGCAGTGAACAGTCCCTTATATAAGAGTCCACTTGGAAAGGAGTCAAGTAAATTTTGTAACAGATTACATAAAAACTCGAGCCATGAATGCACTACGAGCTTCCCTGGCGCTCTTTGTCTCATCTGGACAGGACGCTGAACCTACTGCTCACTGTTTGCTGGTTCTTGTTTTCCATTAAGCTCTTGATCAACTCTGTTCAATGAGAAACACAGGTAATTAAAAATAACCAAGACACTGGCAACCAGATGATTTCCTTCTGAAAAACAACTACTTTTTGCACAGATTATTCTGTTAAATAAACAAAGCCTTGCAAACAAAGCAGATACAGTAGAAGGAAAAACAAGCACAAAATATTTCCCCAAAGAAACAGTATACTGACAAGGATACAAACACCACTGTTTAGGGCTACTTTATGTTCACAGCCATAAACATCCTAAGAGCCCATGGCTTGTAATTCCCCTACAGCAGGACATTTAGTGGGTGAGACTGTCGAGAAGAAGGAACTCTCTCAAAAATGACTACTAACTGAAATTTAAATGTATCACTAAAGTCACCAACTGACCAATTAACAATTTAAAATCCAGAAACCAACTGTGTTTTATAGAATGGTAACTATTTTCTAAAATTCACAGGTAGACTGTGTACCAATACCTTCCATTTATTTTGACAATAAGCCATATGGACTCCATATTCAGAAATATCTACATGAGTTACAAAATCTCACTGGATTAATGTTGGCTTGGCCAGAGGTTCTACCAAAACCTAGGTACAGGGAGATGAAAAGATGACACGACAACAGCATTAACCCTCTGCAACAGTTTGAACAGCTGACTGGAGATGCTTGAGTCACATTGGTTCAAAGCGGGAAGGTACTTTTCACACCTTTTCCCATCCCTAATATCACCTGGATAAGTAAAAAGCTCTGGTCTGTTGTGAAAATACAGTATGTTGGCAACAAAGATTAGATACCTACTCCTGTTAAGGCCTGCAATATACAGCCAATCTGTTCAATAGGAACTACTGTTAACAAGTAATTGTAGGCATTGCTAAAACAAGACAACCTGTCTGACTACAGACTCCACATTGCAGAAAGAAACACTTAAAAGGACTTCAATCCTTAGTTCTTACCAAACACTGGGAACATCCTCATCTCTGGGATTCTACCTAACAGATGCTTGTCACACCTACAACCCAAAGTTTGGTTTTAAACATATTTCTATATTTAAAGCTAATTGAAAAAAATTGTTTCTCAAACTCACCTTTCAATGCTAAAGAAAGTTTTGTAAGAATTAAATGCTGAAAGATATGTGTAACTGCCCTACTGAGGACTGAACAGAAGCAAAAGGGGGGAAAAGCTAAGAAAAATTTACGTATGTACATATACACACACAAACATACATATATTAGCAGAGTGAACATAAATTAAGGAAAGATGAGAAAGTGGAAGGGACCACAGGGAGGAACATTCGAGATGAAATAACTGCGACAGGTTTCAAACAATGAAAATAAAACTCAAACGTTTCACTTTTTATGTGATGCCTGATTATTTTTGACAGTTGATCAAATACTAAAACCTTTTTAAAAAGGGAATTATCAGTACACTTCCTCAACAGAAGCAACTCTTATTTTGAAACAGGGTCTCTCTCGGACTCTGTCATCATGGTTGTCCTGGAACTCACTCTGTAGACCAGGCTGGCTTCAACTCATGGAGATCCGCCTGTCTCTGCTTCCCGAGTGCTAGGATTAAAGGTGTTTGCCAGCCTCCAATTCCCAGCAAATCATTTTAAAGTCTAGAAGGTAGGTGGCTTCAAGCTACTTTACAATTATGGATGCTATTTTTGAGTTTCAGCCACTCCTGTGGTGTATACACAGCACTGTCTAGAGAGGAAAGCAGAGCTCACTACCCAAGCCACTGCTAACATCACTTAGAGAGTCTTGGTTAATTAGAACAGTGATGTACAGAAATGTCATTACGATTCTTTTACATGGTTAGTTGAATTGTTTCCAAAAAAATCAAAGTACTCAAAATTAAGATTATACCAGCAAAGGTTCTAACTGGTTCCACAGATGAGTAAATTAATACATATAAATCTCTGATCTTAATTCCTAAGATCATAGTAAGTGATATTTTGCTAATGTTAATTAAAAAAAATCTACTAACAGTGGGTTAACAGTGGTATGGTGGCAGAGAGCCACAACCTCACATTCAGAGACCAAGGCAGAAGACTGTGTGAGAGAGAGGTCAGCCTGGGCTAGAGAGTAAGACCATCTCTAAAACAAAGCAAAACAAACCCCACAAAACTAATAAATCAAACCCAAGGCCTTCACTTTTCTACACTACTATGTAAAGTGGTAAACTATTTTACACTCTACCTTTCATCTTTCCGCTAAAACATTAACAAATGAAAGGTTGTTACACTCAAAGCAATTGTTCAAAATTAAAGTGGAAATCAGAGTTTAACTGTTAAATGGTACACTGAATTTTAGGTATTTCATCGCATGTAGAGTTTGACTGGTTAGCAGGCTATTTAATTTAAGCATATAAAGAAAACCAATGTTGGTTAGCCAAAGAGTATACGCATTGTAAATATAACCATTGACCCTGAGGGAATAAGCTGTGGCTGGAAAATGTCTTGTGTAACTATTTCAAAAGCACAGTGGGAAAGTCATCAAAGGCCTGGATTTTAAATAGCACCCCAGGCATTTCCCTGGTTCAGCACTGTATTCCGACCAGCACAAGAAGGGCTGTGATTCTTAACAGGCATTAAGTATGCTCATATTTGAAAAGAGCAGCTTGGGGTTTGCACTGTACTGGGCTCCGGGCAACATTTATATTTACAAGTGCTATTCTCTCTGTTTGCGAGCTAACCAACCAGCAGCAGGGTTAGTCTGCGCAATGCAAATGGACTAGTCTATATGCAACCCAGTCAAGGTGTGCATGTACCTTTTTTGTCTCTTTTTAAACTTTTCTTCTTCATACCTTGGTAGGGAAGAGTTATTTCAGTAAATGTACATTATGAGATTTAAGAAAACAAAAAAAGACTGAAAGTGTAAGTTTGCAGGCACAACTACAAAATGCTAATATTTAACACATGATGTAGAAGATAAAAACTGACTCAGTAAACTCTGGTTTGGATACATGTAAGCCTAAAACTCTGAGACCAACAGAGACAGAACCCCTTCCTGGACCAGAGCACTGGGGCGCCAAGTGTTTATGCTGACAGTCTCCCCAAGCCCCTTAGAAGGCAGCTGAGGCCAACTGTGAGACAGAAAACGCTAGTCTCCGGAAAATAGTAAGACCAACTTAATCTAAGCAACAATTCATTTCTTTAGCAATATGACTGTTTCAATACCATGATAAACTCATTCCATCTGGAAAAGCCGTATGTCAAGTTGAGAAGTTACTCTTTAGGCCTGGTACTTCAGGAAACTCTCAGATTATAAACAGCATTTCATACATAAAGGATTCATGACCAGCCATCCCCTCTGGTAATGTAAAAATGTTGATGTATAGGGGAGGTGTGGGCAAGGCTTTTGTCCTAGAATACAGAGTGGAAGGGACTTCCTCCTCCTGCACAGAGACAAGAACAGATGGAAGAGGGCAGGTACGTACTGTCTGATGCACTCTGGTATGCCGACGTACTCCATGGGAACAAGCTCCGCGAGCTCTGCCAAATTAAAGACGTATCTAATTTTCTGACTGAATTTTGAACTAGGGAAGAAAACACAACCAATTATCTCAATATTTCTGACACATAAAACTGACATTTCAATACAAGGAACTTTTTTTGAAGGGTCTTCGAAAATTACCTGATAAATGGTCTTGTAACAGCCAGAAGGGTTCGGATAAACCATGAAGGGTGAACAATGATTAGAGACTTCAGGTTTTTCCGTAATCTGGAGATAAAAAGAAAAAAATTATAGAAGTTTCTATAAATTATAACACAAAAAGGTAAGCATAAACAAATATGTGCAAGTTTGTACTAAATAACTAAAAAAGAAGTCACCAAAATTTGTCATTTAGGTATAACATTTCTAATGACAAGAAAATGCATTTATGAATTCTAAATATCTCTCCTATGCTGTGAAATAAACTTTCTTCCATTTGGATAAATTCATGTCCTCTTCTGTTGTTTTCTCCTGGTACATAAAGTGGTATCCAGAGCTGTCCGGCAGGAAAAAGAGTTCACATCAAACATAAAAGCAAACCATTGGCCTGTTTGAGTCTGGGGATGAACTGGCATTTGTTTCTAACACCATGAAAAGCACCAACTTGTAAGGAGGATAGGACAGAGACAACCAAAGGACAGGGCAAAGGAGTTAGACCCAATCATGTTCTAGAGATTTACAAATCTCCAATAATAAGGAAAGTCTCCTTTTTAGGCACATATATATGACTTTTAAAAAATCACAAAGGATAACTAACATGTTTGCTAATGAAAGTAAATCTATTAACGGGCCTCAGTAAGTCAGTTGAGTCAGCTAAGGCAAAAATCAAACCACTAGCAAGAGTAAAGTTGCCCCACTGGCATGGACAAATGACTCTCAAGAGAACACACTTCTAATGTTTGTTCTGAAAAACTACAGCTGGGCTAGTATCTTGATGAAGCCTAAGAGCTGGGGAGAGAGCCCAGTAGATAAAGTGCCTGCTTTGTAAGCATGGGGACCTGGGTGCCACACCCCAGAAGCCAGATAAAAAACATAAGATCATGGCAGGCATGTAACCTCTCTCAGGGCTGGGACACTCCAGGCACCTGGCTAAGCCCAGTCAGTGAGCTCCAGGTCCTCGTCAGAATTGTCTAAGGAACAAAGTGAATAGTGCCTGAGGAATCCAAATTGATCCCTGACTTCCACACAGAACTGTGCAAAGCAGTTCAGGAACATTCTCCATCCTTTCCCACGATGAGTGAGAATGTGTTCCACACGACAGAAGAATGCAGAGCAATCGTGTGTGTTCTGCACAATTAAAGCCACTCTTACTTAATAGAGCAGACTGAAGTTATTCTCCATGACACTGCACAATGCCATTTTTAGAAAATAAAACATGCCGGGCGGTGGTGGCGCACGCCTTTAATCCCAGCACTCGGGAGGCAAAGGATCTCTGTGAGTTCGAGACCAGCCTGGTCTACAAGAGCTAGTTCCAGGACAGGCTCCAAAACCATAGAGAAACCCTGTCTCGAAAAAAAAACAAAAAAAACAAAACAACAACAACAACAAAAAAGAAAATAAAAACACTAAGAAATTGATAAGTACAACTGAAGAAAATGATATGGTATCTTTAAACAGCAACAAAGAGTATACTTTAATAAAACCACTGTAAAAATCTGTCAGCTAAATCTACAGTACCGTCGATCAATCTGCTGGTAGCATCTCCGGAGCCAGCCCAGACTGGGCATTTTCCTTCGAGTTGTTGCACCGTTTAAGTAGATGATCATGTAGTTTTCTGCTACCAACAGCTCTAAAGTGCCAATAACATACCTATAAAAACAAATTAAGTGCATGTCTTAGATGTCACTAGTCAGGACTGAACTGGGCCCTCCAAATAACACAATTCCCCTCTTCCCTCCATAATGAGAGCAAACACCTGTACAGCTGATGATGTGACTGTTCAAACAAAGTCACACCAAACCCACAGACTGGATGGCACTGTGTGCGGTCAGGGGAAAGGTGGGACCAGGGCACGACACACACTGCTTTTCTCTGTGTATGCTCTGGAACTTTGCAGTAGAAAATAAAAACTGACACTAAGGCGAGAAAAAGAGGGACTGTGGAAATGAAAAGAACCTTGTCAGCTCATCATGCCGAATCCCAAGCACAGATCTAATTTAGTCACATAATTTTGAGATGGTCCAGTTGGTTACCTCTTTAAACAATGTGTTTCCAAATAATAAAGTTGGTAGATAATTTATTCTAATTTTAAGAGGCATGTTTTTTTCTATTGAATTGGAAAATTCAGTTTCATGTAATGCCAAAGGACTTGGGAACTCAGAAACAGGGTAACTTCTATATTTTGTTACTACTGTCACCTACTGGGTAGGGTATACACATGCCAGGCCGGAGCTGTCACTGAGATGTATCCCTAGTTGTTTTTGACATTTTGAGGCAAGGTCTCATTAAGTTGCCCAAGTTGGCCCTAACCTCAATTTGTATGTAATTCAGATGGGCCATCAACTTGTGATCCTTCTCCCTCAACTTCCTGAATAGCTGGGATTACTGTCCTGTACCATCAGTGCTTCTTTCTAATTTTTACAAAGCTTGGTTCACTAGCATAAACTGAGTCTAATTAGCTCCAAATTCTGTTCAAACATCTTACGAAGACATACTTACTTAAAGAGATTGTCCATCAGATATCTATAGTTAGGCTGACCACTTTCAGGCATAAAACAGACAGCAAACACAACAATGGCATTTAAACCATCCCCGTAATAGCCTGAGAAGAAAAAAAAGGATAAAATCTTTAGCACAATTTCACTCTGAAGGATTATCATTTTTAATTGTGTGTGTGTGTGTGTGTGTGTGTGTGTGTATGTGTGTGTGAGTGCAGAGCTTCCAGATGAATGCAGACCATAAAGATGAGCAAGGGATGCATCTAGCAAAGTAAATTCAGTGGGAACAATTTCGTATGAGAAAGAAAAGCCCATTTGGCCAGTGTTGGCACTTGAGGCTATGCAACACGTTTTATCCAGAGTGAATTGCATGCCGATAACGAAGATGCTGAAACTATTTGCCCCACACCTGGGAGAATTCCTACATGGTAGAGCTGGACCAACAGACTGACAACTGCAGTTTCCTAGCTTTCTGGCCCACTTGCCAATCTTCTAAGGGAATGAACTATTTCCGTGAGTCTCATAAACCAGAAAAGTGGGTGCCCCACTCAACATGTGGAATGAACTGTGCACAAGTGAACAGAAGGTTGCAGCCAAACCTCAAGGCGGCCTGTGCCCATACTGCAGCATCCTAGTCACATACCAAACTGTAAACAACTCACACCTAGCAGCGCTGCAGCAGATTCAGATTATCCGGGCAATCAAATATCCAGCGATAGAGGTTAAACTAGAAACACATGGATGAAGCTCAAAACTATGCTGCGGGCAAGTAGTGCACACCATGTGAGACTAGTCACATGGAAGGCTGACTGTGGGACAGGATGAGCAGTGGCTTCTAGAGAGGATGGACTCACTGGAAAGGGATGGATGGAGAGCTTCCTGGACAAAGTGAAATGTTCTATATGAGCACAGGTCATACCTATGTGTGCATCTATGTCCATGTTTATGTATACTGAGAGACATATAAGCTCGAACAAAGAGTTCGAGAAACTAAGTCTTTTTGAGAAGTAAACATATAGGGTTCAACTACTATACTTTTTAAACTTACAGTAAACATATAAAAATAATTTTATAAAGTTAATTGTATGGTGCCCGTGGAGGCCACAAGAAGGTATTGAGTTCTATGGGACTGGAGTTGCAGATTGGCTGTGAGCTATCATGTGGGTGCTGGAAATTGAACTTAGGTTCACTGAAAGAGTAGCCAGTACTCTTACCCATCTCTCCAGTCACTATATAAATATATTTTGAGAAAGGGTTTCTCTGTAGCTTTGGGGCCTGTCCTGGAACTAGCTCTTATAGACCAGGCTGGCCTTGAACTCACAGAGATGAGACTGCTTCTGCCTCCCGAGAGTTGGGATTAAAGGCGTGTGCCACCACATTTAATATATAAGTAATTTTTAATTGTCCTTTTATTGTTTTACTTTAAGTCTTTTATATTTCTGGAGCTGGCTCTGCAGTTACAAACACGGGCTGCTCTTCCAGAAGACTCAGGCTTGATTCCCAGCTTTCAAATAGCAGCTCAAAATCATTTCTACCTCCAGTTCCAGGGAATATGATACCCTCTTCTGGCCTTCATAGAGATATGAAACACACAAATGGTGGTGTCCAGACATACATACAGGCAAAATATGCAACCACATAAAAAACATTGAAACAAGGCCAGATGGTTGTGGTACACATGCCTTTAGTTCCAGCACTTGGGAAGTAGAGGCAGATGGATCTTTGTGAGTTTGGTGCCAACCTGGTCTACAAAGCAAGTTCCAGGACCACCAAGGGTACACAAAGAAACCCTGTCTTGAAAAAACCAAAAACAAACAAAAAAATACCCAGAAAAATCCTTTTATATTCTTAATTTGAGAAATTTTTATTATTCTTTCAAAATAAGCTATTATCTCTAGGCACATTTTCTGACTGCATTTAGAGCTAAAGATCAGAGGATGCTCCCTAACCCTTACCTCCATGGCTAATAACTTTTTTGTAGGGTTCGATTGCCTTCATATCCACCCTGTGGTCCTGTTCTCCAATCCTGAACATGCGCCAGCGGCGCCCATCTTCCTTCTCTTCGGTGGCTGTGTACTCAGTAATTGAGCCTTTCCTAATGACTTCAGTAGTTTTGGGTTTGGGAAGATCATCTGTTAAAATAAAAGGCTTTTCAATCACAAACTGTCATTTACATAACAAAAATCAAAACTGTATGTTAACCACTTTACTATCTAGATTATTCCGAGTTTTCTTTTTGGTGTTCTGATATGCTTGCCAGGCTAGCCTCACCCTCATGGGCTCAGGTGATTCTGCCTCAGTCTCCCAGTATCGGGAGAACAGCTGCACACCACCTGTTAGCACTCACATAACAAGAAAAGATTTGTTCTTACTTAGGGCCAATTTATGGCTTTAAGATCAGTTTCAGAACTTTCCATTGCCCAATTCAACAAAGCACAAGTTAGTGCATCATTTACACCAGCTTAGGAAAGCTAGAGCTGTCACAATCTTACTACACACGCCTCGCATGCCTTTCCAGAGTCCATTCAGGACAACAGTGTCCATTTGGGTTACTAATATAGCTTACTTCAAGTAACCATCTGACAGCCAATTGTTTTTTAGTACATACATTAATTATAAAGCATTGTAATATAAGATAGAAAGTGGTTAACTACTCAGTGATCATTTTCCATTTGATCAGTTTTATAAAGCAGTCATGTACTTTTCTGAGGAATACATGCAAAAATTTACATAAATTAATACTAGCCAAAGCACCAATGATTACGTACAATTTGCATTTGCAGATTGCAGTTTAGTTGATTTAAAATGAAGGAATGATTTTTAAAACTTTAGTATGCCAGTCCTTACCAAAAGATGGGGGAGGGGAAACCTACTGCATGTTAGTTGTTTCCAAGACAAAGCTGTTAACGGAAAATTTCCTTCCAGGCAATGACTACAGCAGCAGTAAGGAGAGAAGAGACAAAACACACAGGCAGAGAACTATTTCAGTGTCTGTATAAAAGGCTGCTTCTTAGTGGGCTGCTTATTGAACCGTAAAACAGGGGAGAAAAACAAAAGAACAAAAGCTACAGAGTATCATTCTTCATTACCTATAAAGTGTCTACAGCTTAAGTACGATTTTGATGTAAAATTCACTTTAAAGATGAAACAAAAAGATTATCAACATTTGTCTAAATATTATAGTCAACTACCGCCTAATTCTAGAATGCACACAAAGCAAAACACACACCAATGCTTCTGAACACAATTCAATTAATTAGAACGGCAAAGGCAGATTGGGGCCGAGCACTCATTGCTTCAAGGTGACAGTTTTACAGGTGCATCAGCCCTCAGCACCTCTCCTGCCAATCCTTAGACATTTATTATTATTATTGTTGTTGTTGTTGTTTGAGACAGGATCTATGTCGTCCTGGCTGACAATGAACACGCTGTGTAGACCAGGGTAACCTAAAACTCGAGAGATTCTTCTGCTTCTGCCTCTGTAGTGCTGAGATTAAACGGATGTGCCACCATGCCCAGCTCTTAAGTGTTTTCAGTATATTCCTTACATCTCTTTAGAGGACTTTTTTCTTACTAGACTGACTGACAAGAAGATACTGGAATATTAGGCAATACTTTTGAAGCAACTATGAAAAACAAACTTTACAATATTGGGCAAGTAAGAAAAAAAACAAAACAAAACTAAACTAAATGAAAGCTACCTGCATAATCTACAGTCTTGAAAACTTCAAGTATTTTCAGAATCTTCTACTTTAGTAACAAACTTAGGAACTGCAGAAAAAATAACATATTTTAAACAAAATCCTTCAATGGATTTTAGCAGGTTTCATGTTTAAGATTTGGACACATCCTACTTTTCCTAAAGAGAACACCAGGTGAACATTATGTAATACAAGCACTCTTTCACAAAGCTCACAGGAAAGCAGTGCATTACCTTCCCATTCAAACTCATCGCTGTTCTCGGATGGGGTGTCTAAGCCATCCAGGTCAACCTCCCCACCTTCGTCCAAATCATCCGACCACACGGAGCCTTCACTAGGATCCAGGGTCAGGCTGATGTCTGGGGCCACTAGTTTCTTACGAACTTTATTTCCATTAACTTCTAATGAGCCTGAAATTGGAAAACAAAAAAGAAGACTGCTCAGTTGCCCCAGTTGAAAGAGAAACATTTTAGTCACTTCATCCTTGAGAGAAACTTTTAAAAGAAAATTCCAAAGCATTAATTCATAAAACTTGGTTGTGATCACTGCTACTGCTTTTTTAAAAAAGACATTATTTTCATTCTATTTATTTTTATTTTATGTGTATGGGTGTTTTGCCTGCATGTATGTCTGTATACCACATGTCTGTAGTACCTGAGGAGGCCAGAAGAGTTCATCAGATCCCCTGAAACTGGAGTTTTGGGTGCCTGTGGGCTGCAATATAGCTGCATCTGCTGGGAATTGAATCCAGGTTCTATGTGGAGCAGCAAGTGTTTTTGTTAGCTGCTAGGCCACCTCTCCAGACCCAGTTGATTTTTATTTTAAGATATGTGAATAGTGGGTATCTCTGTGTGAGTATGTGCACACTGTGCACTGCCCGCAGAGTCCAGGAGATGATACCAGACCCAGGGAACTAGTTATAAACATTGTGAGATACCTGAGGTGGACTTTGAGAATAGCACTCACTCGTTTTTAAGAATTATTTACTACTGCTTCTTTGTCAAGAGATCAAGAATGTATCAATGTCCTTTTAAACACAGAGGCAGACGACTTCACTGTTCTTATTAATATAGTCTCTTTTATTCTTTATAAAAATTTCTAAAACCAAAGGCATTTTTTTTTTTTTTTTTTTTTATTTTTCGAGACAGGGTTTCTCCATAGCTTTTGGTTCCTGTCCTGGAACTAGCTCTTGTAGACCAGGCTGGCCTTGAACTCACAGAGATCCACCTGCCTCTGCCTCCTGGAGTGCTGGGATTAAAGGCGCGCGCCACCACCGCCCGGCTAAAGGCATATTTTTTATGAAGTTAAAATTCTCAAGAATTTGCCAAAAATTTGCCTTTTGGTTCCCCCTATCAGAATAAAAATTCAGTGTGTCTTGTTTTCCTCTCTACAAAGAAATGTGTCCAAAAGTAACACAAACTTCACTGAAAATCTCCGGTTCTTACCAGGTTGGCTGTCTGGACCAGTAACATCTAGTATATCTGCTTCAATACTGTCATCTTCTGGTAAAGGTCTAGAAGACAAAGACATACTCTTTAACCCAGAAATTAAAAACAATTCTTTCTTTCTTTTTTTTTTTTTTTGGTTTTTCGAGACAGGGTTTCTCTGTGGCTTTGGAGCCTGTCCTGGAACTAGCTCTGTAGACCAGGCTGGTCTCGAACTCACATAAGAACAATTCTTTTGAAGTTCAAAGATTCATTAAAAATACTGCTCACGTTATAAAGACTAAAGCCGAGTTTCTTAAGCGCTACAAATCATTTTGTATATGTGTGTATGAGGAGGTCAAAAGATAATCTCAGATGTTCCTTAGCACGTCCACTGTGTGAGACAGCATCTCTCACTGGCCTGTGACAGGCCAGTGTGCCTTGGGGATCCGGTCCCCATTTCCCCAGTGCTGGGGTTCCAAGTGGACACAAGTATGCCTGGCACTCCACTCACTCTCATAGACAGCTGACAGCCCATTCCTCTACCAGCCTGAGACCTTAGCTAAACACAGCTAGAAATCTAAAGTTGACAGGATTAAAAACAAGTATGAACGATCACCAGTCACATGTTTTGTTGGAAAATAACTTGTACTTTCTAGAATCTAATGATCATGCGTAACCTTTTCCAAGTCCAACATGCGTGAGCTGTCATTTCACTAGAGTAATTCTGATGCTTTGTTCCAAATCCATTTAATAACAGTATCGCTCACATTGGAAAATCTTCATCCTGCCATTCTTCTTTCAGCTCCACACCTTCCATCCTCAGCCTGGATTCAATGTCAACTTCCAGCTCCTGGCAATCCAGGCAGCCGAGGTCCTGGGAGGGAAAGACGGACAAGAGCCCAATTTCCACTTTATTTATTTCTCATCTGCTGCAAAGGTGCAACAATCCCATCTAAGTTCACATCAGCGCTCCAGCAGCCACAGAGCCGTTAGTTCAGTGAGACCTGACACTGGCTCGCACAGAATCATAACTAAGCCTTCAGTCTTCTGGACAGGAGTGATTCTAGAGCCTGCACTGGTAAGTTCCAGGCACATGCGTACTCACCAGAGCACAGTGCTATGCAGCGTTCACAGCTCCTCCTCTTCACTCCTGAGTCACTTAAGAGTCTATCCAGGAGCTTGTCTAGCAAATGACTTGTACCACGCCTCTCTCACAGAGCATGCTTTCACATACACAACTATGCATTCTAACTTAAGCTTCAAAGTTTTAGTTTTGCAAGAAAGTGTAAGAATTCTCACTTAAGGTGGAGCATTGACTCACCTATCTGACAGAATACAACATTTGAAGTAAACTATAAGTCACGAAGAGGAGCAGGAGAGATGGCTCACAACTACCTGAGACTCCAGTTGGGGGGGGTATCATATGCCCTCTTCTGACCTCTGATGGTACTGCATGCACATGGCACACAGACATGTAGGCACACACTCACACATAAAATAAAAAACAAATCTTAAAAAGGAAGTCACGACAATCAGTGGTAAGAAGCACAGCAGCAGCTCACAAATGGCTGAAACAAGAGGAATCACTGAAATTCAGCTCATTACCATTAGAGCAATCAACAGAGCGAGTTACAGACAGCACTAAACCACAGTTCTGTCTCTCTCTTTCAAACATGTTCATGCCCGTTAGGCTGTCTTCAAACTTGTGACCTTCATGTTCCAACCTCTGAAGTTCTGAGACTAAGGCATGACCATGATGCCTAGCTTCACATTTTTAAGTCACACAGTGTAAATGGAAGAACAAAAATAAATAAAACAATGAAGTAATAGTCCATATATCACACCCACACCCTCTGCACTACTTGATTTAAAAAAACTGCAGAGCATAGTAGATGGTGCACGCCTTTGATTCCAGCACTTGGGATGCAAAGGAAGGTGGATCTTTGAGTTCGAGGTCAGCCTGGTCAACAGAGTGAGTTCCAGGACAGCTAGGACTGCCATACAGAGAAACCCTGTCTTGAAAAAACCAAACCAAACCAAACCAAAAGCTACCTCTCTAAATAAATGAGAACCATTCACGTTCATTATCAAATGATATTCTAAAAACAAACTACAAAGAAAGTGAAATCCCTAACGTGTTATGATTCATATAGCGAATTAAATCCATTCCTCTAATAACTAGAGGTTTCCACCTCCCAGATTACGTACTTACTTATACTTGGGGAGGTCTCAAAGGGCTTACATTTTGTAAATCTATTTATTAGCACAGAAGGAAAAAAAAAGGTAAGCTGCCAACTTTGTCACTGAACTACTTGCTGGGTAAATAACCAGAATAGTTCCCTGGTCCTGTCCTACCTTTCTGTAGGGCCTTTTTCAAACAACGAGAAAAAAGAACTCAGCAACAGCAGCAGAGTCTGACAGTTGCAACCGATAACTTCTTCATCTTAGCACAACGCTCAGCACATTACAAGCCCAACAGTGAAGGCATGCCATTACTAGGCAAGTCTTTGCTCAACTCCTTAAACTTGTTTTGCTTACTGAACTATATAAATAGGATTCCTGTTAAAAGTTTTCCTTAAAATGTTATGAGAATACTTTGTGAGAACATAAATACACACAATATAAATTACTGCTGGTAAAACTATTCATTATTTGCTAGAAGAAACATTTCTCTTATGAAATGGCTCTAAACTGCTTCATCGCTTGGAAGAGAACTCGTTCAAAACTTTTCATAGAGGCTCAGGTTTGCAGTCCCAGTACTCTGGGGCCTACAAGAGGAATACTGCTGAGTTCAAGACTAACCTGGCTACATAGCAAGACTCTGTCTTTTCAACTACTAAAACAAAACAACAAAAAGAGTTTTTTATACACAGGCTTGTAATCTCAGCTATCGAGACTGCATGTTCAAGGCCAGCCTGAGCCTCTGAGTTAGACTGTCTCAAGATAAAACAGGAAGGCAGGGCTGGGCTGTAGCTCAGACACTGCTTGCTCAGCATCTGGGGCCCCTAATTCAATTCTCAGCATCACAATCAAACCCAGAAAGCCTAACTCCTTGCCCCCTTGCAGTCCACTTCCTCAAGTTTTCCTCCAATGTTCTCACTCATGTGATGTTCATACACCTCTATACATTGCCGTGGGTTCTTAGTTATGGGGACGATTATCTAGGCTAGTTAAACAAAGAGGGGACAGAGAGAAACAGAGACTAACTCCATCACTCCATCAAGAACTCTGGGGGCAGCACACTAGGTAGATAAAAACACAGTCAACAATGGAGCCCTGTTCTTGGAAGCACTTTATCACCGAGCAGCTGGAGGACAGGAAACGACATGAAAGGAGTTGGAATAAGCACAGCGGCTCTGGAGGGAACCCGGATGCCTCTGACTCACAGGTTAGCTGCTTATTTCCCAGTTTTGCTTTTAGAACCTTAATGTCAGAATAGGGCAATAGTTTTGATATACTTATGCGTCAAACTAACATACCTGCACAGAATTAGTCTGTCTAGATAGCTCGGCAGCACATCGTTATGCCAGTTATCTGTGGCAGTCGTAATGAAATCAACAGCCTTTGACCCCAGTCAGGTTAAAAAAAATCAAAGATGATGGATTCCTGCATACACAACTTAGGATGAGTGGTGTGAATCCAAACAAGATGGAGAGGGGGAAAGCCATATGCAGTTTAGGAAGATGAGCAAGATTAAGTATTAGGATCCTATCTTGATCTACCTAGGCTGTGACTGACAGTTTTCGAGGTACCTTTACTATCATGTAGTTTAAGCACTGCTGCTAGAAATAGGTGCACACGGAAACCATAGGTGGCAGAAGGCCAGTACTGACCCAGAAGGTTCTGCTTTATTTATGATGAACAGCCTAGCTACCCTTGAAGATCAACAAAAAAATCCCCAGAAACATCCTTCAGATTGCTTATCATTGCTACCAAAATATACAACCGTATCTTTCTGAAATCATCTTTTTAGAACACACAAACACACGCACACTGGTGCACACAGGTAGGGTAGGTGGGTTAGATGTGTGTGCCTTCGGCAGGAGAGTAGGACGGTTTCCAGGCGTGCTTCTCTGTCCACTTTGTTTTGAGACAGGGTCTCTCATCTATCTTCTTGGATCACACACGCTCCCAGCTAGTCAGCCATGAGTTTCACGGAGATTCTCCTGCCTTCTCCTCCCATGTTGCCATAGGACTGCTGGGATTATAGCTGACTTTTTATGTGGGTTCTAGAAGTCAAACTCAGGGGGGTTCAGGCTTTCCAGGCAAGTGTCTTTACTGTCTGATCCATTCCCGCTACTACCATCATGTAGGCTTTTCAAGAATGAAACTGAAATGCTTCCACAAAAAATGTTTGCGCGCGCGCGCGCTCTCTCTCTCTCTCTCTCTCTCTCTCTCTCTCTCTCTCTCTCTCTCTCTCTCTCTCTCCCAACTAGAATGGTTTGGGAGGAAACTAACTTCTCTCAGATTGTGAAAACATAGCATAGGACAAACGCACATCTATAAGAATACATTTACTAAACTATCAGTATGCAGAATGTACTGGAGACGTGTTGACACCCCTGATCTCCAATAGTCTGCAGTGTTATAAAGCGGCTGTATTGGAAAGGCGGGACTATCTGTAATACTACTGTCTTGCTTCATAGCACGTAAGCCTGACCAAAGACCTGACTACTGTCAGCTAGAGAGCCACTCTTGGGTCCAGAGAGACCTCCTTGTTCCCGTCACTCCTAGCAGCATCACGCCAAAACAAACAACCACTGCCCAAAAGGGTAATACAACTTTACTAGCCATTTTTACACCCATGAGCCACTAATGATTAGTTCATGCTTCAACCAATCAACAAATGTGTGAGACAGAACGTGATGTTATTATCCCTTTATCTTAGACGGGAGGCAAAAGATAGATATCACATCCTGATTCCCAGATCTACACCAAAACAGTCTGCAGTATAGCACACTGACTCCAGACGACCACCAACTCGCCACAGGTCTGTAAGGCCAGACTTGGTTATACTTAGTGTGAACGGTGATGTAGTGCCTAAAAATGAAAATGTGCTGATTTATGGTAACTTAGTTCCTATTCCATGTATACACACGTATCCCACTTCCTAGTCTAACAATATCTAGTTATAGCTAGAAAACTGAGAACAGCGTTTAGAAAAAAAAAAAAACTCAAAGTCTGAGTACCTTAACTAGATAATTTCAATCCTAACTTTGAAGAAGCATCCATTCACAAATCACAGAATTTCTACAAGTGAAGGCTAGAAGGCGGGTTCAAGTGGCTGAGCATTCTAGCTGCTCTTCAAGACACGATTTCAGTCCCCATCCCTACAATATCGGCTCTCAACAGCCTATAACACCAGTTCCAAGGGGTTCCAATGCCCTCTGAAGTCGCCCACACCATGTGACACAGGCACATTTTAAAAAAAATGAGGAAAAAAATTCTACAATTGCTGGATTCCTATAAATCATAAGACAAAGTACGTTTCATTCAAGGTGGGAATTCAAGAATAAGGAAAAAGATCCTCATTAAAATAAAAGTGAGGCTAAAGAATGAAATACTAAGATAAACAATCGCAGATGGTCGGCACTAGAACTACCTTGATAGACACCCTAAGAGCTGTGTCCTCAAAGACTTCTCGGGACAAAGGAAGTTTCAAAGCAATATAATAAAGATCCAAATAAGTGTCTGCTTGAACGTCAGCTGACACAGGGAGAATTGTTCAGTGGTATCGGGTGTATACAGCAATCCAAAGCGTCCTGACCGGTATTTAAATGAAGAGGTTAAGTGTCTGAAAACAAGTAGGGACCGGACATTGACATGCACACCCTATCCCGGGATAGCAGCCTGTGGACGGAGCAAGAGAGCCTGATGACATATAGGATGCAGTTTGTGTACGCCGTCTGCGTCCATCCCCCGAGGCTATGGGGTGTGCTACACGCCCAAGTTTCTTTGTTCGGCTCCGGACTGACGCCAGAGAGGAACACGGAACAAACGTGGCTAGGGGAAGCCAGGAACCGGGAGGTTCCGCCCCAGGCACTCGGCCACAGACGGAAAAGGAAGGGGGCGCGAAGCTGGCACCAGCACCCGGGGCGGGGCGGGGTCCGGCAGTGCGAGGACCCGGAACGCGAACACGCCAGTCCCCGGCCGCCACTCCCGCCTGGCCTCCGGTCCTCCGCAGCTCTCCGGCTGCGCCCCAGCCCGACCCGCCACCCCGGCCGCGCTCACCCCGGAGGAAGCCGCGGCCCCCTCGTCCTCTTTGCCCCTCCAGGCCGGCGACGTGGGGCTGACGGCCAGGTCGCAGAAAGCGGCGGCGGGCAGAGCCCGCTGCCCTCGGTCGGCGGTGGAGACGGGGCCCAGGGCTTCCCGGCCGGTCGCAGCTGCAGTCCCGCGGCAGCAGCTGACCCGGATTCAGTGCGCACACCCCGGCGGAAGTGACCACCTCCGGACCGGCGCTGGGCGAGGCTGGGGGAGGAAGCGGAGACGGAGCGTCATCCCCCAAATCCCCAGTGTCCCTCCTCTCTGCGCAAGCGCGGTTGTCCGGGTCGGCTGACTTCAGCCGGCGAGTTTCTGGCTTCTCGAGGAAGAAGGAGGTCCTGTAAGGCTCTCGCTCTCTCTCCCTTTCTGTTTCTATAGAGACATCACTTTGCTGCCCGAAAGGGCCAGTACTTTCTTTCTGTTTGCCTTTACGTTAACCACATTACCACGTGAATGCAAAAAGGGTGAAAAATAGCCGATGGCTTAGTGGTGTTGCCAAGTCCTTAGAAGAATCAACTTTGATAGAATTCGCCAATGTGAAGAGCTTTTCTCTCCAGCAGTGCTTCTGGGAGTAATTCAGGCTCTCCCAGGTCCCGGGTTGGCCTTGAACTCTCCCTGGGTAGTTGAAATAACCTTGAATTCTCTGGCCCCCACCTCTTACAGAGTTCTAGGAGTACCAATGTGATTGTTACCACACCTTTAAGTGGTAGCAAAGACCGAAGGAGAGGCTTGCTGCCTACTAGGTAAGCTCTCTGCTGAGATCTCATTCCCTCACCCTTTAAAACATGCTTTTCCCAATTATTTGAGGGTCATATCTTGATGAAATAAATAAATGAAAAAAAATGATGTCTTACCTTAAATACTTTATCATCTGAGTCAAGAGCCCTAAAAACCGGCTGTTGTAAAAACACTTCGAAGGATCTCAATTTCTGTGCGGACCAGTAAACGCTTTTCTGAAGGGCTTCAGTCTAACCGAAGTGTACTTTATTTGTTTATTTATTTATTTATTAAAGATTTCTGTCTCTTCCCCACTGCCGCCTCCCCTTTCCTTCCCCCTCCCCCAATCAAGTCCCCCTCCCTCATCAGCCCTTTAAAGAAGCATCAAGGGACTATTATTTTGAAGGACATAGCTATCCTTCTTAGAAGTTGCACTTGCTTAACCTGTAAACAGTCTAGCAGTTAACTGGGCAGTTCTATGGAGAATGGAAAGTCAGAAGAATTTTAAATTGACCCCAACCACAGCGCTTTGCAGCCACAGTCCACATTTGCTCTCTGTTGGCAGAGCTAAGCGTTCTGTGGCTTACCTATAAAACGGGGGAATAATGCCTACCTCACAGGGCTTTAAGAGCAAACAGTATATGTTTATGAATCGAGCGCTTGGAATATTGCGATCACATGTTGGGCATCGTTAGGTCCCCTAGCAATCTCTTTAATTACTGGAGGGAAAACATGACAAACCAATCAACAAAGTTTTAGGAAACCACTTGGGCCAGAAAAGGCATTTCCTCTTCAGTTACAGAGTGTTTTTTATTCTTTTTTTCTTTTCTTTTAAAGAAAACGAACTGTCTTTTTTTTTCATTTTACATACCAATCACAGTTTCCCATAGCCTGCCCTCCTCCTTTCCCCTCCATCTATCCCCCATCCCACCTGCCATCCACTCCTCAGAGAGGGCAAGGCACATTGCTTTGAGACAGAACCAAGGCCCTCCCCACTATATACAGGATGAGCAAGGCATCTATCCAAAGAGAATAGTTTCCCAAAAAGCCAGTACAAGCAGTAGGGACAAATCCTGGTGCCACTGCCATGGCCCCACAGTCTGCCGCAACCATACAACTGTCACCCACATTCAGAGGGACTAGTGTGGACCTATGCTGGTTCTGTCCCTGTTTGACTGGAGTTGGTGAACTCCCATTAGCTCAGGTAAACCCAGGTGTCCCCATCATGGTCTTGACCTCTTTGCTCATATTCTCACTCCTCCCACTCTTCAACTGGACTTTGGGAGCTCAGCCCAGTGCTCCACTGTGAGTCTCTGCCTCAGCTTCCATCAGCCATTAGTTGAAGGTTCTATGGTAGCATTTAAGATATTCATCAATCTGACTACAGGGCAAGGCAACAATAAATAAATGGAACCTCCTGAAACTGAGAAGCTTCTATAAAGCAAAGGATACAGTCAGTAAGACAAAAAGGCAGCCTACTGAATAGGAAAAGATCTTTACCAACCCCACATCAGACAGAGGGCTGATCTCCAAAATATATAAAGAACTCAAGAAATTAGACATCAAAATTCCATATAATCCAATTAAAAATGGGGTACAGACACCTTACTAGACCCGGATGGAAGTGGGTGGTCCTTGGACTTCCCACAGGGCAGGGAACCCTGGTTGCTGTTTGGGCTGACGAGGGAGGGGGACTTGATTGGGGGAGGGGGAGGGAAAGGGGAGGCAGCGGTGGGGAAGAGACAGAAATCTTTAATTAATTAATAAAGAAATAAATAAATTAAAAAAAATGGGGTACAGAACAAAACAGAATTATCAATAGATGAATCTTGAATGTCCAAAAGACACTTAAGGAAATGTTCAACATTCTTAGCCATCAGGGAAATACAAATCAAAATGACTCTGAGATAGCATCTTGCACCAGCCAGAATGGCCAAGATCAAAAACACCAATGATAGCTTATGCTGAAGAGGATGTGGAGTAAGGGGAACACTCCTCCATTGCTGGTGGGAATGCAAACTTGTACAACCACTCTGGAAATCAGTATGGCGGTTTCTCAGAAAATTGGGAATTAACCTACCTCAGGACCCAGCAATACCACTCTTGGACATATACCCAAAAGATGCTCAATCATACTACAAAGGCATTTGTTCAACTATGTTCCTAGCAGCATTATTTGAATATCCAGAAGCTGGAAAACAACCTAGATGCCCCTCAACCAAAGAATGGATTTTAAAAAATGTGATACATTTACACATTGAAGTACTACTCATAGGAAAAAATAAGACATTTTGAAATTTGCGTGCAAATGATTGTAATTAGGAAAAAAATCATCCTGAGTGAGGTATCCCAGACCCAGAACTTGGTATGTATTCACTCAAAAGTGGGTACTAGCTGTAAGGCAAAGGATATTGAACCTATAGTTCATGATCCTAGAGAAGCTAAGTAACAAGGTGAACCCTAAGAAAAACATATATAGATCACCTGGAAAAGGGAAATAGACAAAATCATCTGACAAAATTGGGAGCATGGGGATGGGAGGAGAGGGGAGGGTGAAGGGGAAAGAGGAGCGGAGTTGGAGAGGGGGAGGAGAACTTGAGGGAACAGGATGGTCAGCATGGAGGGAAGACAGAGATGGGAGCAAGGAAAGAGATATTTTGATTGAAGGAGCCATTATGGGGCTGGCAAGAGACCTGGCACTGGAAAGATTCCCGGGAGTTCACAAGGATGACCCCAGCCAAGACCCAAGCAATAGAGGAGAGGGGGCCTGAACAGTTACAGGTGTTTCATAGTTCCTATTTTTATTTCAGGTCTGCAGTGTGCAGAAATCCCCACAGGGTGGCAGGAAATCGCTTGCAACCATGTAAAGGAGTGAGGTTATTGTGGTCTTGAGTTTCTTTCTTTTAGTAAGTTTGTCATGAAATAAACTTGATCCATGTTTGGTTCTAAGTAGACTACGCTGATATATTTTCCTTTTATCTCCATTTCATGAACTATTTATACTTATTGTTTAAACATTAGAAACTATAGATAAATCAAAAGGATAATCATTATGAGTAGTTATATTTATAGATCCTCAAGATTTGGATATACATATATTAATTTCATGTCCTTCCAAACATCAGATAATGTTAATTTGTAGTGCATTTTATTTAAAGATTTCTAAATTTATTTTTAGTTTTCTTAAAAAAAAATTACAGTCCTTGGAAATGAACCCAGAGCCTCATGCAAGCTCTCTACCACTGAGCTATAATCCCACATCTTAGCACTCTACCACTGAGCCATGATCCCAGCTCTCAGCACTCTACCACTGAGCCACGATCCCAGCTCTCAGCACTCTACCACTGAGCCACGATCCCAGCTCTCAGCACTCTACCACTGAGCCACGATCCCGGCTCTTAGCACTTTACCACTGAGCCACCATTCCAGCTCTCAGCACTCTATCATTGAGCCACGATCCCAGCTTTCAAAAACTCGACCCTATCAACTACTCAGAGACTATTTGCAATTATACAAAACAGCAATCTTGAAATTTAACTATCATTTTACTTTTCAGGATCCAATAGAAAGAACAGTGCCCCATGACAGCTGGAAGCAATTCTAGAAGACAACATCCCCTCTTCAAAGATTGTCCTCACGGTTAGAGACACCATTTACGGGTTGGTTATTACTTGTATAATGTTGGGGCTTGGGTGGAAATTATGTAGGCCCAGAAATCTCAAAAAAAAAGGAAGGAAAATTGAATGTGATAATAGGTAAATTAGTGTGAACTTACTCACACTAATAAAAATTATAGTGAGTAATAGAATAAATACTTGTGAGTTATTATTTATGGACAATTTACATTGGTATAGATTTTTGTATGTTGATACATGTTTCTACCTCTGTTTAAGGTATTTTGTATATTGATAAAATTTTAGGATATATTTATTATATTGCATTATATATTTCTACCTCTGATCAAGATATTTATACATTGTTTACATTTTGAATTCATTGTCCTCCTTTCCTGCATAGTTGTTTAAAGATTGTTTAATATTCTGATATGAAGTCTTAATCTTTAAGCTATATAGGTATTACGTATTATAGGTCAGTAGTCATTCATGTTTGTTATACTTTTAGTCAGACTAATTAGGTTCTTTAGATACGTACAGATTGTATTCTGCAGAGATAGGTAACCTTCAGCCACTTCAAAGATCTAGAGAACATGGCATTTAAATAATTTAGGATTCTGTTGATGTGAGACACGATTGCTCCTGGCAGCACTGATCTATTCCCAAGAGAGTGTTGAGCACCAAAGAGACTCTACTTGGAGTTTGTTTTCTTCTTGGCACAACTAGCTATTTGGCAAGGAACTGCTCATGCCTCGACCACTGGCAAAGTGCACGATGTCCAGACTGGACAAGCAGGA